AGGATTAAATGTCACTCAAATGTCTCTCTACATATTATTATTGTAACATTTAAACAAGTCTATTTGCCAACAAGCTAAGTAAAGACATCAATATAGGGATGGGTAATTTATAAGTTGAGATAACCTTGTACATTCAAATGGAAAGTCTTTTTGAGCTTAAAAAATAGTTATGAATGAGGACTTCCTCCTCTAAGCAAGTTAGTGAATAGAAATTTGACAAGTTAAAGCCTCAACAACATCATAGATTTAAAGTATAACAAAAAATTTGGACCCTAAAAATTATTATTATTATATATCTCTCAATGTCTTATGAATGAAATATCTCAAAAGAACTCACACTAAATCTTATAACCTTTTTAATATAAGCGAACAATCCTCAAAATAGACTAGCAAAAGATTTATAGGTTTTTAAAAATCTATAACCATGGTGAGTATTAAAAGATAAAGTTGTTGACTTCGTACAAGTTACTCGTTTTAGCCAAGTTGTTAACAAAGGAGAAATTTTAGGAGGAGGGATGATAAAGTGACCCAAACGAGGTGGTGGAGAAAGACATCCCCTGTTATAGGATGGGGGCTAATGATAAAAAATAAAATAACAAACGATTCAAAAACAATAAAGAATTAAGGGATATTTATAAGTTATTTACAAAGTTAGCACAAATTCACTAAAAATATCTTTATCTCCCATTGTTTCCTTAAATAAAGACTCTACCTAGGTAGATTCAAATTAAGACGACCTCATGACTATCATGGTAAATCTAGAAAATTGGACGATGTAAAAAATTCTCATTAATCAAGAATTTTTTTATTTTTATCTTATATTGGTCGATCTTTTTAAAGTTAGAGATGCATCATAACACAATTATGTTATACACCAAACCTTTAGTTTGTTTTGCAAGAGAAATGATGAATGTTTAGGGTAATATAAATCTCCTTAGTACAAAAATAATAGTGATCAAATATTTGTTGGTAGAAATTGTTATATTATACAAATTCATACTCTTAATTAGCTAAGATTCATGGTGTCTTTATCATATTGACAATAAAGTTTTTTCATATGAGAAACTCATATTGGTCAAAGCCAATTAAACAATTACACCTTATGTTAAGCAAAGAACTTAAAAATTCTCTTTCTCCTCCTTTGAAGAGTGAAATATCATAAACTTAAGATATCACTAAAACAAAAATAAGTGAGAAAGAAAAGATCGAGATGGTCAATGCTTTTTCTATAATGGAAAAGTCCTTCAATCAAGAAGTCCTTCAATCAAGAAGACTTGAACCTATGAACCAATTAATGTTGGCCTACATAGGTGGATGGATCAATCAATACGATGATAACATAATATTTATTTAAAATTCATGATCTCAATTAAGACATAGAAACAAAAATAGAGTCAATCGTAAAAGACAGTATTAACCTCTTTTGCATGCAGTAACTCAAACATGTCTGTTATAAATACTAATCTCATGTCATCATTTGTCTATATACCCTAATTCAAACCCATACCTAAAAACAAAAGGAGATTAGAAGAGGAAAGAAGGTGGATTGTCGAAGAAGAGACAAATAAGTTAAGTAAGGTTGGATAGTTTAAGAAGTACAATATACAACATACTTGTCACAATGTAGCATTGGTAAGAAATTTCCCAAATAAAAATGTGTATAGATTATACTCACCTTAATACAACTTTTCTCAAAGAGTTTTACATATTACCAAATATAAGTTTATAGATGTCTTAGGTTACAAAGTGGGAGTTAAGTTCCTAGTTCTTCCACTTCAATCTCAAATTATCAAAATTTCTCTTTCATTAATTTTATATCTTTAAGCCTATATTAAATTTTATTAGATCAATAATCATTTAATAAATTATCCTAATTTACTTTTAAAGTTATAGATGACATTGTGTAACATGACTTTAATGGATGAGTAAAGAGTTTACCTAAATTCTAAACTAACATATTTAAGTACTTACTCATTCTTAGAATTTTCCAGCTTTTTTTTATGTTAGAACCAACACATGATGTTTAATCCCTAAAAAATCTTTCCATTTGATCATAACAAAGATATTAATGTATAACGACTAACTATTTGTTAAGTTTTGCAATATTCTCTTGTAGGTTGAAAGTTACAAGATACAATCTTCCCTATCTACCACATATGTTTATGAAAGTTAGGATTTGTTGGGTAATCCAAGTGTGAATTAAGTCTCACATTGAGTAAGAATGAGAAAGTTGAGCAACATATAAGGAATTATGACCCATAATCTAATGCCTTAAGGTTTTGGGTTGAGAGTGATGTTAATTCCTTATATGGGTTGGGCTTATGTCTCATTAATGTTGTTCTCCCTAGTGAATCTCCCTCAAAATACCCAACAAGTGGTATCAGAGCTTCAGTTAGGGGTTCTGGTGGTGCTGGAACTATGATTAAGTTGAATTCTTCCAATTACTCAATATGAAAATCTCGAATGGAAGATTTATTATTTTGCAAAGACCTATATGATCCTATTGAGGAGAAAGGTATTAAACTAGATGATAAATCTGAAGGAGTGTTGAATTATTGGCAAGCGTACCAAAATTATCAATCGCAGTATAGTATTTCAATTAAATAAAAGTCGATCCCACGAGGAACAGTTTCAATGAAAATTCCCAATTATGCTTACTAAGTAGATTAAACAGATTGGATTTTGCAAATAAGAGTTGAATTGAATTTAAATGGCAAAGAACTGTAAATTGTTGAGAAAATATCAATTAAAGGTACCTAGGATTGACTTCCTTCCTTATCCCTCTTTTGTAATGGCTAAATCAATTAAGAACGTCAATTAACCTAACAATGTTGATGCCACCTACTCATATCATCCATGTTGATTCCTCACACATGAAATTTATAAGAAAACCTAATAAATGTTTATTCCTCACACAATTAAGAAATTTTCTAGCATTAGGGTTAGGGTGTTAAGCAATTGATACATTCATTCCATTCCTAGCAATTAACGTAACAAATATTCTTACCGTGATCTAGGGTTCAAGATATATTTTCTAATCATACCTCAAACAATCAAGAATAAATCATTCCAAAGCATAAAGAATAAGAATAATAACATCAAAGCATAGATTAATATCTCAAAATATCACCATGATACAAAAGTTTTCAAAGGAAGTGCACTGAATCCTAATAGAATGAAGTTAGTCACTCATGTTAGCCATTACAATGCTCTAATTGATGAAGAAGTGAAGAATTGATGAAAATTAGACGAAACCCTAATAGTAGTCATGCCTCCTCTTCTCCGAGACTGTTTGCCTTCTCAAAACACATATTATCTTTTTATAAGAGAATTTGGGTCGGGTCTCGCATCATTCATTCGCTTAAGCGTTTTTCTTTCTTTCAATTTTTCTTCAATTACTTCACAATTATACTCCTTACTCTTGTATCAAGGTATTCTCGAATTCATTCTATATTGGGAGAAAAATAGATTAGAATTAACATAAGTGGTTTCATAACAATTCAAGACATAATTATATCAACTTTTTACCACTTAACAAAGAGGAGATTGAAAGAAGTTAAATAGGAAGACTATTGGTATATTAGACAATGGATAGATCAATATTTTGTTTATCACCATGTGTCTAGTGAGACTCTGGGTTATAACTTATGGAAAAAATTAAATGAGTTATTTGAGTCTAAAAATTCCTTGAATAAGGCATTCCTGATTAGGAAACTTGTAAATTTGAAATACAAGGATGGTTCCTCTGTGGTAAAACACTTGAGCAGTTTTCAAAATATGGTGAATCAATTAATCACCATGAAAATTGAGTTGGATGATGAGTTACTTGCACTGTTATTGCTTAGCTCATTACCAGACAATTAGGAGACATTAGTGGTATCTTTAAGTAATTCTACTCCTAATGGAAAATTGATATTTGAAATAGTCAAGGATAGTCTTTTAAATGAAGAAAATAGGAGAAAAGGAAGTTTTCAGGTTAACTCCTCTACTCAAAATGAAGCTTTAATTTTGGAGTCAAGGGGAAGAAATCAGTATAGAAATTATCATAGATTTTATGACCGTAAAAAATCAAGAAGAAAGTCAAAAGAAAGGGAAAACATCACATGTTTCCATTGCAATAAATCAGGACATATGATCTAAGACTGCAGACTCCTCAAGAGAGAAAGATTAAGAGATAGAGACAAGAGTAATAATAACAAAAGAGAAGATAAAGATAAAGACACTATTGCAGTTGTATCTGATGGTGAAGTTTTTATTATTTATGATGATGAATGTGTTAATCTCACATGCCAAGAGTATGAATGTGTTGTTGATTCTGCCTTATTTCATGTTACATCTCATGATGAATATTTCACATCCTACATTACTGGAGATTTTGGGCATGTGAAAATGGGAAAGCAAGGTTGTTAGCATTGGAGATATTTGGATAAAGACTAATATCGGATGCAAGTTGTATCTGAAGAATGTTAGACACATCCCCGATATACACCTCAGCTTGATCTCAATACAGTTACTTGATAAAGATGGTTATCATAATTATTTCCATCACTAAAGGAACATTAGTAGTAGCAAAAGGAGGGAAATGGAATACTCTATATTGGACATCAGCAAAGTTGTCTACACCTCAAGTAAATGCAATTAAGGATTGTTTTACAGAATTATGGCATAAAAGACCTAACAAGTGATATCAGACCAAATGTTGATCGGTAGTGGGTCAGAGTGGTCTTTGTATCGAAAGTCTTCTCGACAGAATGGGTCAGGTCAGCGTGTCCCGTTATGATAAATGGAGGTAATTGGAAAGATTACTAGTGTGCTCGAATGGATGTACTAATGTGAAGGAACTCACACAGGGAAGATTGTTGGGTAATCCAAGTGTGAGTTAAATCTTACATTAAGTAAAAATGAGAAAGTTGAGCAATATATAAGGAAGTATGACATATAACCTAATGCTTTAAGGTTTTGGTTTAAGAATGGTGTTAACTCTTATATGGGTTGAGTTTATGTTTCATTGATGTTCTTCTCTCCAATGAATCTCCTACAAAAGACCCAACACAGTTAGTTTTGTATTAAAGGATATTTTGATGACAACTTCAAGTTGAGATTTTGGTTAATCAAAATAATATTTATTTATAATTATTTACTGATTAACGAAACCTTTTAATATTGAAAGAAAGTTGAGCAAAAGTGAGTTAATATAAAATATTTATTTTCATAAGTTTTAGTTTTAAATGAAATTTTTGAAACCTTCTCCAGTTTTATCTTATTTTTGAAACCGGTCGTAAAAACATTTCATAATACACAATATGCACACTTTTCTCTCTCTATATATATGTATCAAATTATTTATATGAAATTTTATTAAAATTTACAAACAAAATTGCAGTGATAAAGTGATTCACATTACATTTTAAAAAATATACATTATATCGATTTTGATCTTTAAAAGTGTGGTATCAAATAATTTTATATATGTAATCTATTTGAATGAAACTTTTAATCTAATGGTCAATTTGAAAAAGCATGCTCCAAATATAAGATATTAAATTTGGGTAAAAAAAATTAAAAAAAAATCAAGATGGTAAAATTCTATAAAACTAGTTTAAGCATTATGTATCATAAGGATTAAGCATATACACGAATAGTATTGCAAATTATTATCTAATTATACAATAAAATATGTAATTCACATCAACATTTATATCATTCCAACTTGTGAAGGATATATAATTTTTTTGAAAAAAAAATCAGATATATTGAAATTAATTCCAAACCGTGGTGAAATTTTAACCATGCAATATGGGAAGAATTTGATTTTCTTCCCATCAAATCACTTTATATTTTCATAATGATGTTAATCTTTTCTTTCCACCATATTTTCCATGAGGGAACAAATGGTCCTTGCTAAAATGGGATATTTATCATGTGATGGGTGTCTTCTTCTTGTCTTACATCTCATTTTGGGTTTATCATAACCTATGCCATGGGTATGTGTATTCTCTAAGACAGCAGTTTTTCCAATTTTTTTCTTCTCTTTTGTTGATATGTGTTTCTGTGTCCTTGTAGAGAGAAAGGAAATTGAATTTTGATTTGGAATATTAAAAACCATAATGTTTTTGAACAACACTATCGATAAAAGAGCTATGGGAAAATAGTGATTGAGTTGTAGGAAAAGTTAGAAAGCCTTCACAATAAAAACCTAGTGAAACACCAGAACCAATGCTATGAGAATCAAGAGATTCTCCAAAAGCAAAATGGGGGTTTTATTTTGATATTAAATGTAGTACTACTAATGAAGTAATACTCTATTGTCCACTATTAATCTACCATAAAAGAGGTAAATGGTTTTGTTATAATTAAACTAAAATTTGAACACATTGTTATGAGTCAGCATGTTCCTTATCTAAGCATAAAAACCCAAACTTATAATATATGCGATTTATGTCATGTAAACAACTTACATGTCACATGGTAGCCCCTATGAGTCCTCCACTTATTATTGTTCTCCTCTACTCTACTCCAAAAAGGAATCAACACAACCACCATTAAAATCAACCTCTTTTTTAATTGCAAGATATGATCTACCGTTTCCTTATTATTTCCCACAACATAGATATCTACACCAAGAAAACAAAACGTTTTGGATGTCCCATAAAGACACCCCTCATTAGCATTGTTTACACCCACATATTCTTCTCCCCTTTGTATTCTATCTATCTATTTCACTTAATTTATTCCAAAAGTAAAGACTTTGTTTGTTCTTACTCAATGCTCAACAGGCCAGATTATTGTGTCCCTTTTCATTTGTCTCAAATTATATAACTTTATCTCCAATGCAAATAAAGGTGTCATGTTTTTCCATGTATTCCCCATGGCAACTTTCTTCAAATAAAAGACATCACTCGCACCACACCATGCCCCCTTAGTGCTTAATTCTGTAATGTAATGTAGCCATATATGCACATGCACAACTTGCAACAAAACAATCTCTTTCTTATTATCTTCATTAAACCTAGATGAAATTTTGAGGGAAAAGTTAAATTAATTATACATTTTTCTCATGATTTAAAAATACTACATGGATACATTTTGACATAATTTAAAAGTAGACATATTTATATTTTTTGTACTAAAGGTTTTGTTAATGTGTTGGTGTTGTCCTTTTGTTTGAGCAGAATTAGAATAATATTCCTTGTTTAGCGTGCTGTGTTTGTGAGATACAAATTGCAATCTTTCTCACCGCCCAATAATGCTTCACATGACCACACGCCTTTACACGAATGATTGACACGTGTGAGAATGGTACTGGACAAAGTTTAGGAGGTTGGAATTATTATAAGTGGTTACTGCACGCCAAGAATCTTTTTTGTGAGTTGGGGGATTGTGGAATGCTTGGTTTTGAAGCTTCTTCTTCATCATATTATATATATACCATACACAAATTATTGTTATTATCAAAACATATATATGAATAAGTATTTTAAAATAGCGATCAAAGAAAAAAAAAATTGAAAAATGAGTGATGAATTAATATCATATTTTTTATAATAAAAGAGATATAACAAGGTGTGTGAAATGTTTTTTTCTGACTAAGAGTGTGTCGAATATATTTGTTAATAAAACTTTTATTATTATTCTAAAAATAGTGCATGAACTTTATTTGTATTTAAATGCTTACACCTTTTTATGTTCATAATGACTATACTATTTAAAAGTGGCCCAGCACGTGCCCATGTTCTAAGTTTTGGTTGGAGGTTTCTGTAAATAAATTAGCTAAATCTTAAAAATACATTTTTTATAGTTTTTTAATCAAATTCTATGCTTTAAAGGATATTAACAAAACTTTACTTTTGCTGCAATGGTGATATTTTATTGGTTGCCGTCTTTGTTGTTGTACAGGGACAAAAGATTTATTGGTGTACCCTTATTCTAGGATGATTTTAATGGTTGAGTAAAAAAGTACTAAATTTTTATTGTATTATAGTGGTACCAAGCACAATAATAGTAATTTAATATAATTATCAGTAAAAATATTAATATTTATTAGTAAAAATAAGAACATAAATAAAAAACGTTTATCAATTTTAATTTTTTTAATCTTTCAAAATTAAAAAACAAAAATATTTTTCAACAATTATATTATCAAAACAAAATAGTTGGTAATAGGTTTTTCAGTTTTTAAAACTATAAATTGTTTTTTTTTTCCTTAAAAAAATGAGGAGAAGTACGACTTATTTAAGAAAAAAAATAAATTGTATGGGTTTGATATTATTGCCTTGTGTTATTCAATTTCACATTGGAGTTTGGATCCCAACATCCTATGTTTTTTTTTTAATTGGTTTTTCCTCACTATCATAATTAGAGTTTTTTATTCTCTAATAAGAACTCAAACTATTTCTTATAAATTGTGGTCTTTTATCTTTATTATGGATTAAATCTCAAATTTAGATTTAATCACCCAAAAATTATGTTGTTCTTCGAATATATAATCTACAATATAGAGCTCCAATTTTTAATTAACATTTAACCCTTGAGAAAAAATTACACTAATTAACTATTTCGATAATAGAAAATTTACTTCTTTTAGAATAAAATTATAATAATAATATTTTATATTAGACTATATTATGTTTTATAGGTATATATAGTTGGAGAGTTTATTGGATCTCAATATATTTTTTTATAAATAAAATAAATGTTGATATTTTTGGATAAGTATATACGTATATTGTGACTCTATTAAAATTATAATGAAGCATTATAAATTATTTTGTAAATACATACTCTTATTCATTACAGATGGAGATAAATAATAAATCTACATATATTTCACATCTCAATTAATAAAAATAACTATTTTAATTAAGACCGTTTAGAATTTGAAGTAAAATATCTTATCTCAAAAAAGAATATTAGTGTAATTTATAATAATATTGTAAATCTAATTTTCATTTTTCAATAGAGTGAACAATTTCTATGTAAATATAATCTTGATTGACTCTAAAATAATAAAAGGATACCATAAAATAAAAAATTACCATGTGATAATTAATAAACACAATTATATATTTTTTTCTAATTATTATCATGATTGTTGTTTCATTATTATCACTTTTATTTATATTATTATTATTATTATTATTATTATTATTATTATTATTATTATTATTATTATTATCAAATATATAAGTTAAAAAATATATAAAGCTTGCTAAGTTAGGTGCTTAACAAGTTATAATTATAAATTTCTTACATTACATGAAAGTTCTATCTTAACAATTTGCCTATTCTGAAAAAAATAACGTATCCAAATATAACTTTAATGTATCTAATCACCTCTTTTAAAATAATTATAATAAAAACAATAAATTTATCATAAAGAAACAACTTTTAGAATAATTTGTTTTTACATTATTTATACATTCTAATTAAATTCGTAATTTACATACTTGTAGTTAAATGGACAATAAGATAAGATAGAATATTTTCGGACAAGAGACTCCCGGTAATTTTAACATATTCATACAAAAATAAGATTTTTGTTTTCTTTTAGGAAATTAAGAAAAACAATTGAGACATATTGTGTATCATTATATATCACTACACTCAATAATTAAATGAATAATAATAATGTTATAGAAAAAAATCTTCTCATCTTTATTTATTATATATAACCTAATTCATACCACTTTTCTCATCTTTCTTCCCATCAAAGAATGGATGACTTTTTTTTTGTTGGAATCCTAAGTTTTTTTCATTGGAAATAGAAATTTCATGGCAAATCTTCTCTCTTACCTTGGATCCAAACAGAAGCTAAGAGGGTTAAGAATCAAAGTAATTATATAAGAACTTACAACTAAAATAAAAGATGAGAAAAAAGAAACAAAATCAATAATAGGTAATAATAAAATTTTACTACTGAAAGAAATTATAATATCCTCTTTAAATCTTAGGAAAAAATAATAATATATTCTCTAATAAATAAGAGAACTCAACCATTATGCAGTCCATTAGTAAAAAGGACAAGAAAGATATTTGAGATGATTTATTACAATAAACCTTCAGTAAGATCGTCTCTATGTAAATTTATCATTGTTAATCGACTGTTATAATATCTACTATTTTTTTCTTGCTTTTTGTTCTGAAATACAAGGTGAGATTTCTTGTAATGTGCAAGACATTTTAACCGTCACAATGCACAACAAATTGTTACTACTTGTGCCCTAGTTCTTCCATTATTTTCTTAATCCAAATAGCTTCCTTACTTAATTGGGTGACTGTCATGTACTCAACTTCTATGATAGAAAAAACTATAACATCTTATAACTTGGATAACTGCCTCTCCAGCAAAGGTAAATTCATCAAGATCACATGTAAAACCTGAACAACATAACATCTGACAACTAGTTTTGATCCTCCGAATTATAATACAACATTCAAGTTTTCTTTGAAAAGAATTCTTTTGATAATACTCATGTTCTCCACCACAATTTGTCATTAATCTACTAATCATTCTCACTACTTGTGCAATGTCTGGTCTTATATCAATCATGATATTCATAAGACTTCTCACTGTTCATGCATACAATACTTAAGACATTTTCATCTTTTCTGCTTCATTACTAGGACTTATACTTGAGGATAACTTGATAGAAAATGGGGTAAAAACTGATTGACATCCTTACATGTTGAAGCACTACAAGACCTTCAGTAAGTAATTCTTTTGATAAAGTCAAACATTCCTATATTTTCTGTCTCGGTGAATTTTGATCCCTAAAATCTTATTTGTTGGTCCCTAGTTTTTATATCAGACTTCCTAGCCAATTGTGCCTTCAAAACCTAGATTTAAACTTTTTTGGAGCCTACCACCAATATGTCATTCACATACAACGACAAGATAACAAAATCATTATCACCAAACCTATTGTAATAAGTACAATGGTCTGAACTCAGTCTGTTCTAATCAAGACTAATTATGAATAATCAAATCCCTTGTACTAACACTTGGACACCAGGTTTAAACCGTACAAATATTTGGTCAACCTACAAACTAAGTTTCCTTTTTCTTTAAGTCTTCTAGTTGTAGCATACCAATCTTTTCTTCAATTTCACCTTAAAAAAAACAATATTTGTATCCCTGTTAACAATAACCTTGTAGATAGTGGGATCCATAAGAAATATCTTTTATATTGTTAGCATAGTCCAAGAATTTGCCCTTCTTGAACTTTGAAAACACAGACTTCCTCTTGATGTGGTACACACATAATCTCTTGGAGTAATAATTGTCATCACTAACACAAAATATATGGTCCCTTAAGGATAATATCAACGATTCCAATACATCATGATAAACCAAGTTCAATATGTGATTCCTTCTTATACAATTTAACAAGAGACTCTCAAATCTCCTTTGTTGTACCCTTCTCCACAAAATTGTTATAGTGTTGTTGTTTATTTCTTCTCACCTTCGATTTGTAATTCTCACGAGTCTTTTTCCAATTACTTCTATATAATTGTCTTTTCTCAAAACTGTCTTCATCTTCAATTTTCACAGTGAGAAATTATTCCTATTGAACTTCTTTATTTCATATTTTATTGTTGTGGTTTTAACCGACTTATGCACCTTTCACTATGAATAACATTGCTTACTTGAACTATGTCAACGTAAACCGTAACTAGTACACCAGATAAGCTCCCAAGAAATAGAGGTAGGTCTAGATATGCACTGTTGCACTACCACATTTTATATCGAGTAACTAAGATAATTCTTTTCTGATGTAGATGATCAGATTAACTGTCGCTTAACTCAACGAGACTCACTTTCCTGAAACCCTTGTTAGGAAGACTTTGGACATAAAGACCTTTCACCTACTCATACTGAATTGAGTCGGTCATCAAACGAACCATCGACTCTGATACCACTGTTTGATCTTTTCGATGGGGCTAACAACAGGAATAAGCCTGTCAAAACGAGCGGCCTAGCCTAACCTGACTTGGTCCTATGAGCCAAGTAAAAAAAAATCTAATGGTTCAACCTTGCCTATATTTTAAAATGAGCCAAAAAAATTTGTCTAGTCTAGCCCTATATTAGGCTAACAGACTAACGAGACCATTATTTGCCTAATTAAAAATATTTTTTTATTTATATAATTTTTTTTATTTTATTTGAAAGAAAAATGTCATTTATTTGTTTATTTAAAATTAAATAATAACCTATTCATGCAAAATAAAATCAAATATATAAAATAATTTAATTAACTCATAACCTATTCAACCAAAATAAA